CGAATATAGCACAAAGGTCAGCCATCTAACCCGCCATCTATCACAGTGCCCGAGTGGGGGATTAACCGAAAACAATGCTCGCAGTGCTATTAATTTTACTTCATTACGGCTTAGAGTTTCATAGCCAACCGGTTGGTGACGTGCGAAACTCGTTTAATATCGAGACTCGAGTGAAATGAAAAGGCCCACCTCAGCCTCAGTTGGCAGTTTTGTGGCCGAAAGTCAAAGTGTGTGAATTGGAAAACGTTTATTTGGCAACCGAGGGCCCTGCTATTGTTTCGCGTTGTAGTCGGCCCGAGCAGACAGGAAGTGGTCTGTCGAGAGTCGCAGAATAGCGAACTAATTGCCTTGCGATTCGCCGATGATGGCCAATTAGCGTTGCTCTTGAATGGGTTTTCGGCGGAGGAAACGCTCCTTATCCCTGCCGGTGCCATAAAGTCCAATTTGTAATCTAATTGAGCCACACAACACCCCTCTTTATTAGCCCAATATTCAGGCATTTCGCAATCACAGACTCGATAAGAGCGATGGCTCTTGGGAGTTTTTAAATTCGCTGATAGAAGGCACAGACTAGGCCTGTTCCCCTGGGTTTCGGAAAATCAATACTCCCCGATGGTTGAAGTGCTTTAATGAGTGCACAGTGAATATTAGATAGAGATAATGAGTATTCAAGAGCACTACTCATTCGCAGGGGCTCTCCTGAAGACTTTTAATCGAATTCTATCTTAAAGCTAGGGGCTACTTGTGTCCAGCTTTTCTTACTGGCGTTTTCTATCAACTGCATTGCACTTTGCTGAATTTGAATACTGTGAAAATCGAGTGCACTTGGCAACAGCCAAACAGCATAAATAAGCACTGCAAATGGGTCTACATGTGTAGTGCCTGTGTGTAGCCATGTATTGGCGATAAAACTGACCCACTTTTGAGCCGCAATGCACGTACAAACAAAAAACAACAGCCCCAGCAACTCGAACGACTCGAACGACAATTGCAACTTAAACTAAAGGCTATCTCGTGAGTAGTCTGGCTTCGAATGTTGAATGTCTAGTCCGGCCGAGGGTATATCACTGCTTAGATTAGGCCCACGCGTCATTCTCCAAAAATCAATCACCCCAGAGCACTGCACCCCCAGATCTGACCTTCAGGCAGTGGAAATTAAAGTTCAGTTCGAGGAACTCTGCTCGCATGCCAGCGAAAACGAAACAACTCTAATTGCAGTACACTTTTCCCGGTAAGCTGGTGGCATTAGTGAGTCACTACAATTGGGTTGGCGGGGGCACCTACCGGGGGGTGAGCTCATCGCCGCAGAATGAAAATATTAGCTCACTGCACTGCCACCTCTCCCTAAGTCGGCGACCTCGCTGGAGGGGAATCACAAAACAAAAGACCCGAATCAGATTTCCACGGCTTCTGGGAAAGCATCTTCTTGGTGGGATTTGGTGTGAAAAGTGTCACAATGGCGAAGAGACAATTATCCGGGCATTGTGTTACTGCCAGCTAGTGACGCAACAGGAGGCTAAGAGCTGGATTATAAATAAATGACGTCAGCACGGGGGCTATTACAAAGTCCACTTGCTCTTAGAGATGGTGTAATAGAATGGTGTAATAGATAAGTAGGTCTTAACCTCTATAAGATATCCTTTAATCTCAACCCCTTTTCAGGCCATCAGTGTTTGATATTTGCGTGCCTTCGTGGGAATCACGAGTCCATCCCTAGACTAATAACCACGTAGGGGGACGTATCGGAGCAGATCGACTGATAGACACGCAGCCACGTCTAATTAGCACTCGACTGGCTCGAACTGTTTGGCTTTAGGATATAGACAAAGCCACCGACTGACCGACCGACCCACCGATACAATATCGATTCTGACGTCAATGGCTTGAAAATTGCGGGGCTTGCGTTGTCAATGCAATTAGAGAAGCCGGGCCACAGATCATGATACGGTCCGAGATGGCGCATGATACTTGTAGCTGGAGCTGTAGCTGCCTGAGCATTGGTTACCGATACTCGGAAAGCGCCGCAAATGAATCGTTTCGGACAACCGTGATTCCAGAACCATGGGTTTCATGTAAGAGATCGAGGAAAAGTACGAGCGGCACGTGGCCAGTACACGGCTGTGTGCCAGAAGCAAACACCATGGTTATGCCAGACCAGTGCCAGCGCCGATACTTCTGTGTTTACGCATCCAGGCGATACATTGGGATTGTGTTTGTTATGTAACCATCGTTGTTTTCCCAGCCATTCTTATCGGAATATCTGTATGGAGAAACTACGAACTGTAGAGGCCTGTTTTTCGACCAGAAACTCCCCACACTTGCACAAACATACCGGCCCGAGTGGTAAAAACCCAACTCACGGCCCAGAGTGTTTTATTTTTATCTTATCTGTCATGCTGTTTATGGTCTTGTTTATGAGTTCTGAGTTTTGTTTTCCTCAAAAGCTGAACAAAACGAGCCCAGCCCGTTGGAGAGGCGAGGGGCTCGACCGAAAGACCGATGCAGACCGAAATAAAGCTCCATAAATGTCATCAAGTCGTTAAATGGCCTAACACTGAGGGTTCCTGATTGTTATCTTGTTTTCTTCACAACCTGGTTGCGAAAATATACTTCCATGGTATTATTGCTATAAATTAGGTCTTTTGTTGTAGGGATGAGCTATACTTTTATTGAAATTCAAATCGAATAGAAGCCATTATCTTGAAATCCTTCAAGGCTCCCATACTTCTTACCTTGGGCCATCACATATTTCGAAACTTGGTCTTCACTAGCCACACCACTGATAAGTACTCCCTAGCTTGTGCCAGTTCGAATCAGTTATTAAATGTTAGTATAACCTAAAAACCTTATCAGCCCCGCCCTAATCATTGGCGCCGGGTCCTCTATTTCTTGCAAGATTGGAACTTGTTTTCTTCATCGATTGGAGAACACAAAGACCTGAGATTAGCATGGAAAGTGGAGCGTGTAGAACAATGGCAGACTCCGCTGCGATCTCCTGCTAGAGGCCTTATCGTCCGAAATACTTCGCCCATATGCGGCAGGGCAGTAATTATACAAACGGTGACGTTATTGTGGGCTTCGCCTTGATTGATAAGTGTTATAAGGCGAGGAGGGCGACTGAATCGAAAACAATTGTTTAAGGAAGCAAACACTTTTGCGCCGCACTTCCGCCTGCTGGACTTCTTATTTGTTTTGATTCATTTCTCATTTTGATGCACTTTGCATTTAAAACAGGAAAAGACTGTCGTCTTGCGGAGGCTGCGGGAAATAAATTACATTTTATTCGACGCGCCTTTGTTGGGCGTAGGCAACGTCGGCAAATGACTAAAAACCCATCATCCGCAAATCCACAAAATCCGCAGTACGTTATCCCCAATCTGTGCCCTCATGTCCGCGACGTGACAGCCGAACAGCCGAACAGGCAGCGGAATGGACATCAAAGTGTCCCCAATTATGAGTGATACGCGACATCTGCTGGGGTTAGAGAACTGGGAGAGATCGGGACTACACCTGGCGGGAAATGTACACCCAACCCAGTCATCCAGTCATTCAATATGGACCACAGAACTATTCCCATTCGAGCCCATATTATCTCGAGTGGGCATTTGTTGCCCGTGAATTGGCGAATAATTTATGGCATTTTTGAAGCGGCAGATAAGCTCCCTCCTCACACTCACAACACAATGGCAAGAAAATAAAAAGTCTGCCATTTTGTAAACAACACAAAGCCCGCGCCTGATAATGGCCAGACCGTAAAAATATCAGCCCCAAAGTCTCGTATAAAAAGTGTATATTTCTCGCCTCCTCAAGGTCAGAGGCAACAACAGATTCGAGCTCTGAATGAGTACGAGGAGTGTTTAAAACTAGCAGACTGTGTTTGGCCAGAAAAGTACTTTCACAAAGAGAGAGAAAAGCGGCAAACTTTTCTTCTGGAGGGAGAAGAAAGAAAAGAACTGAAATGAAATGCGTAGCTCTGAAGAAAGTGTGTGAATGGCGATGGGGAGAGCAATTGAATTGACCCAAATGACCATTATGGGTGGCAAGTTGCAGCTGAGGCGGCTGCCACAGAGGCAGCCTCTGTCCATTGGATTTCGTGGAAAAGGAAAAGTTGATTGACTTTAAATGAGGCACAAATCAAACAGCCTTTAGCGCCGAGCATGAGCCTCGCAAATGTGTCATCTGCAGTTCCGCTTGGAATTTTCAATCGACTCCCAGTGCTTGGGTGGCTATCTTTCAGCCTGATTGCCTCAGAGACAAGTACTAAGGCTGGCAACAAGCCACTTCACTTACCAACCATTGAGGCTTTTATTTTGGCTGATAGCTAGCAGCTTTGCAGGTTGATTAGATTTCCTCTGGATCAGTCATAAACCACGAATATGAATATGAATACCTTTTCATTCATAAGGCCTTCCATTTCGACAACTGGCATCTGCTCGAGAGACTCTCGAGCTCTTTCCAGCTCTTAATTGGGTCTAAATATAGAACCCTCCATGGAACGGCGTGCCATCTCAGTGCCAGCAAAAGCAAATTCAATTCAATTGAACTAAATTCGTACTTCATGCATTGCTGGTTGAACGTTGGCGAGACTGGAAGGAGGGCCACTTGATTGGATTGTATCTTTGGTGGACAGTGGACGTGGGGCTTGGGCATGGGGGCTGAAGCATCTTCAGTGGCTCCCCAGTTCTATTTGTGGGCCGCCGAGACTCAAGACCTTGTCTAATCGAGATTAAGAATGACCCATCGAGAGTACGCACTTTTGTCTCAAAAACAACGACTGCTTCCACGGCCGAAAGTTCAAAAACGATCAGGCCTCGTTCATGACGTCGCTTGTTATTGTTTCATTTTTGTTTCTGAGCTTCATTTGATAAGAATTGTTTTATTGCCGATTTATAAAGATTGGCCAGAGTGTGTTATTGGCCCTCTTATCAGTTTCCCGCTGGCCAGTCTTCAAGGCTCGGTCCTATCTTTTAATTTTGGATATAAAATGTTTTCAAACTTACCATTGCCTGCTCGATTTTGTTGTCAATCGCAACTGCACTTGTTCCAGATGCACTGCAATAAATAGAAGATATTAATTAAGCTCATGGGAGTACTAAGACTAATAATAATTGGGGAGGAGGAAATAGGAGTATTAGGACTTTTAAAAATATATTATTATTCAATATATTCTGTTGAACAAGATCGGTCTTTTAAACGAGCACTTTCAACCGAGTTCTAAACTCTTTTTTAAAATAATTCTGGTACTCTCAATTTATTTCCAAGTATAATGGAAGGTATTATTATGTTTTATAGTCAAGGTATTGGTATAAAAAGGAGGAAATGCCTCTCCAGACACCCTATACACTAGAGATGCATATAAAACCTATTCTATAATTTATTAATGGATTTTTTTTTCAAATATGCGATACATCGACTTTAATCGATTTTTAATCGAAATACTTCCACCACCAAAAATGTCATTGGTGTGCCTACGTAAACTTGTGGTAATGCTACTTGCGCTAACGAAAAAACACAATAATAAAAACTATTTGAAGAATAAATGTACGTTTATAATTTTTAATATTTCAAGCCTTAAACAATTTTTATTTAAATCGATCTTTTCCTAACATTTCTTAGAAAATATCGATATAAATCGATTTATTTCGAGCTCTACTATACATCTTCTATGGTAGATCGAAGCTGTCTCTGCTCCGAAACACCTCCTATGGTACATCGGAGCTATTTCTGCCCCTACCCGGCACCCATGTAGACAAAATGAAAACACCCTCTTCTATGTAGGGTATACCAACCGATAGATAGACCCATTATCAGCCCGAGTCTTCATTTAAGACTCAATTAAAAACAAATCAAGCAAATTTAAATTGCCATTTTGTGCGCCTCAGACCATCGCTCAGGTGAGACAAGAGACCTTCGAACGGAAGCTATTTTTGGCGATCTGACCTTGCCGATGACAGCCCCGAATTGAGGTCAGCACGACAATAAAACTTCCTCCGCTTGAGTTTGGCGAATAAAGCCGAATCTCCCCATCTAATTGCAATGCCAGGCCGGCAATTAAACTGTCATAAGACCGAAGAGAAAGATGAATTGTGCGAGCGGTCGGTCTGTAATCACATCGATTCGATTTAAATACGATACAATGGATTTATGCAACAGAGTGGTGTACTATATGAACCAAATCCGTTTGGCACACATACTTATTTAATTACGGAGTGGCGGCAAAAGTGCACACGGCTGCATTATGGGCCCGATCGACTGGCTTGTAATTATGCAACAGCGGCGAAAACTAGAAAAGGCGAGAGACTCCCAAAAGCCAGCACTGCAATTCTGCAACTCTAATTCCGATTACATAAAAGACAACCAATAAATGGCTGAAAAAGGCTTAACCCATATTGGGATACATGGTGTTCTAGGGGAGCGGTAGGTCGGTGTATTCTAGTGTTTGCCTTGAAGCTCAGCAGAGACTTTATCGAGACTTTATAGAGATTTGGCTTGGAGAATGGAAAGATACAATCAAGGACAGATTAAAGTTCCCCTTCCAAAGACATAATTTAGATACTTTTAGCAATCTTGTTCCAAATCGTACAATCAACTCCGCAACTCCCTTTTAAGAGTTTGTCGATTACAATTATTGCTATCAGTTATTTTATCGGGCTTCTTGTGGCTTCCATAGCTCAGGTCTCACGCAATAATTTCTAATTATAGAAATGAAATGTGTTGAAAATGTGTCACTTAATGAGGGAATGGAGAAAAATGTAACTATGCGAGAGTGATTCACTTTCAAAAAGCCTAGACATGCTTTTGTTGTGATACAAGTAAGCATAATTATCGATTATTTGACATTAGGAGCCATAAAAATGATGATTTTATTGGAGTAAAAAAGCAGAAATAAGCAACTAATTTAGCACACTCTTAAATCAGGGTTCAATAGCCACAAACCATCGGAAATTGAATTCTGTAATATTTTTGCTAGTTTGTATTCTCCAACTCATCCCAGATGGTCTGTTTTTTGCAGTTAATCGTAATATTGGGAACATGGAACAACAGCCAATCAGTTTAGTGACTTTAACTGTCTGGAGTAATTAGTCTCTCACTGGGGTTCTCCAATAAAAAGCTTGAAGAGGCAGCTACATGGGATTTACGCCTGAGTCACTCGGCAAGGACGAAACGCGGGGAGTTTCTTGACCTGCCCGAGGAGGAGGAGTCAAGGAAACCAAGACCCTCGACAGAGTTTATGACTTTCTATATCATTTCGCTCACCCCGAACCCCGAGACTTGAACAAAAACAACAGGAGGCGAGAAAAAGTAAAAGTCGTGCCCATGCATCCAGACGCCTGGGTGCAATGACTCATGTCGTGACTTTTGTTCTCTTTCTTTGGGCTATTTGCGAAAAACAAAAGTGAGATCCGCTCGGAATAAATAAAGCGAAATGCAACTTATTCGCCAATGTCACTGCGGCCAGCGGTCAATGGCGCCGATTCTGATGTTTTTGCCGGGAAATTAACTTTAATTTAATCTTTAAACGGTTGCCAAGCTCAAGTTAGCGTAGGGGTATCTATTACGATACAATTATTCAACAAAATCAGCTCTCCGGTGTGGAGAAAAAGTATGTTGCATCATGGCATGTTAGGTAGACACTTTCGCCATCAGTTCTCGACAGAGTTTCGCAATCAGACACAGGTGCAGGCATCACTTAATCATTACAGAACTGATTTTCTAGTCGGTCTAATATAACTAGAGAAAGATTTGAGCTTTAGGGTCTTAAGAAAAGGCAATCAAATGACGATAAGGCACCCAAAGCCCTCCAAAGTTTATTAAAGTTCAAGCCAGACAGACGCACGCCACTGTCGAAATCTTTTAAAAATAAGCATGATGTCACTTATTTATTTACTTACTCGCCCTCAGTGTTCTGCGGTGATTTATAAAAAGTTCATTCGGCGTTCGAAATTATAATATTTTGGCAGGTTTTCCTCTTCTTGGCCGTTAATGGGGTGCTCGGGTATTGCTTACCGCATCACGTGATGGCCAGATTCGCATTGCAATGTGGCACAAATGTGTCAGACGATGGAAAACGAAACAAATAACTCGACCATTTATGCAGAATAAGCAAAAATCGAAAGCAAAGGGTGACGGAGCATAAAGAATACATAAATTATTTACTTAAAAGCTTATATATACTATGTATTATATGTTTAATATTGTAATTATTGCCAAAAAGCTAAGGTAGCTGTTTAAAGATCCATCATTATCATGTTCCGGTTTCATTCAGTCGTTCAACAGGTGGCGCCACTCATTGAGGTGGCCAGACAACACAAACGTGCCTGAACTCTACCTTTTTTTTCACTCGATCTGACTGCCAAATTACACGACGTATGCCAGTGCCTTGAATCGATATCGGGCCAGTTCGATAAGCCATTATTTGGCCAAGTGCCAGGCTAACCCGTTGACGAGTGTCGCTGCTCTTTGGCATTTTCCCCAGCTATTTTCGAATATCAAGGGGTATCTGAAGGGCCAAGACAATACGAAACGCTTTGGGAACTTCCGTAATTGAAAACTTGCGGATGTTGAAGCAGAGCGCTTCTCTCAAATGTGCTGTTCTAGCACTTTCTGCACCGATTCCCCTCAGAAGCCTCAGCAGAAACCAAACTTGTCGGAATTGCTGATTTCAGCTATCTTCCAAAACATAGCTCGAGAAACTGAAACCATCTCCCACGTCCGGGAAGAGTTTCCCTTTATGGGAAGTATTTATTTGTTCAAGATCTCAAGTGTTTGGAACTGTGAGAGCTCCAGGAAGTTGGCCAACGAAAACAGCTTAAAGTAGAAAAAATATACAGACCCTACCACTAATGAAACTAAGTTGCGAAATTAAAGTTGACCAAAAAAAAGACAGATCCTTTGGCCCTAACCCGATTAAACTCATAAATATTACCAAAATAAACGCCTTTTTGTAGAAACGAAGCCGAGTAGAAACCGTTGAAGTGAGATCCGAAAACAGATAAACTCAGTGTCCCGATGTGGTCCAAGTCCAAGACCGGTTCGCTCCACGACTTATATTGTAGGAAGCCGTAGAGTGTCCGAAGAGCCGGTCGGTCGAAAGGCAGCAGAAATGGCAAAGAAATGTCGCCAACTTGGCAGGCTTCGCCGCAGCATGAAGGCGCGTGGCGGCCTGCTCCTCCTCCAACTCGGATTCCTTTCCTGGCTTTTTCCTCCGGCCGCACCACTGCCTTTCGGGCAACAAGTTGTCTAACTGGACATAACGGACAAAAACGAAATGAGGTCAGCCCGATAAAAAAAAAGGAAAATAGTATTTTATTCGACTAACGATGCGTTGGCCCGTTTTCCGATGATGTAAGGCCCCACTGGCAGGAAGCGGGCCGAAACCAGTCGGCGGTGCATAATTCGATTATAGAGGTACTTTTAGTGAGATATGACGTTGATTTCGGATCGGAAAGAGCCAGATCTTGTGGTGAGCATGAAACTGAGCAAAGTTTGTCTACTTTTCTAGCCAATTGGCGCTTTCTTATCCAACCAGAACTTAATTTGCCAATACAATTAGCCCCCGGAGCCGCCCTCTTATCCAACAGACAAATATTTATGTGTGAACAAGAAATCATCCCCAGACTGGCCACAACTTAGCACCTTGGGGCACCGTGGGGCTCCTATAAAAAGCGCCAGCTGAGCTGGGTTGCCGGGCACGAGCTGGTGTGCCAATTTGTGGATCAGCTTGGTGTCTGCTAATTGGCTGCCGGTCCAGGTCGGAAGTGGAAGTCTATTTATAGGCACCTGCTCAATTGAAGTCCCTTCCAGCCTAGTCCCTTCCCTAGTTCACAGAACGATAACTTAGTCACCATTTGGCTTCCCAATTATCGTTAGAGGAATACTTCTAGAAGCTAATTTGTCTGCCGGGCAAGATTATCTTTCTATTATAAGCTCCCATCTAAAAATACACTCCAAAATGTTCCAAGAGATGGGCAGATTCCCACAGACTAAGCTTGTTGAAAGTAATCCTGAGGCATTGCCCCACATAAAAATTATTATTTTAGAGCACCACCTTA